CAAAAACTCAAAACATTTTCTAGAGAATGCATTATCTCCTCCATCTCGTCGCCAAGTCGCTTCCACGTCAGGACTGAGGAAAGAAAGAGGCAACTTGAGAGCAGAAATTAATGGGCTAACGAGGGTTCCTAAACTCTCCTCTTTAACAGCTGGCGGTTATGAAGTGGGGATTCAACCATTTCAGACGGTAAGTGAGTAATAGTACAGCCCAACACAATCAATACGTTGATCCGCAAATAATTAAATGGGGATTTGTGATGTAATAATGATTGCTAATCCAATTAGACCTTAAGGAACTATTCTTAGAAGCTTAAGTGAGTTCATTTCAAGCAAAAAGCCTCGAAATCAAATTTAATAAATGACGTTTAATAGCGTTTAAAAACAAAACACTCATGTAATGCTCATATTAGGGGTATTTGATATTTGCCATCTCTGGTGGGTCCAATTTAGGAGTTCGATTGGCGCGAGTGACCTTCCTCCACCTTCAAATCCCAAAATTCAGGAGACCCAAGAAAATGCTTGGTTCCCCATAACGCCGAGCGCTTTAGGACGCAACTGATGCCTGCCATCTACTAGTAATTATTCATGAAATTGACACATTTGTGAAAAATGTACTAAATTATTGGGCTGGCAACTAAGTCATTCCCGTTTTTGTTGACAGATTCACTCTATACTTTCTTTTGTTTTGTTAACGTGGCCAGAGCATCTAACCTATATTTTTTCTTACTGTATGGGCTTCTAGGTTAATTAGTAAAAAATTTTTTTTGTTTAGTTCTTTGGTTTTGTTTTTATCCCAATTTAAAAATGAAAGAACAGGACGTGCACTTCCGACACATTTTATTGTATTACTCCCGAAAAGGCAAGAACGCATCGCAAGCACAAAAGAAGTTATGTGCCGTATATGGAGATGAAGCCTTAAAAGAAAGGCAGTGTCGAAATTGGTTTGAAAGATTTCGTTCCGGTGATTTTTCACTGAAAAATTCACAGCGATCTGGTCGCCCAGTCGATGTGGATGAAACCCATATCAAGGCCATTATCGATTCAAATCGTCACAGCACAACACGAGATATTGCAGAGAAGCTGCTCAATGTGTCGCATACATGCAATGAAAAAAATGAAAAACCCTTGGTTATGTCAAGAAACTTGATTTATGGATCCCTCACCAGTTAAAGGAAATTCATTTGACGCAACGGATTAGCATCTGTGATTCGCTACTGAAACACAATGAGAATGAGAATGATCCATTTCTGAAGAACCTAGTTACTGGCGACGAAAAGTGGATAGTTTATAACAATGTTACTCGCAAGAGATCATGGGTGAAGCAAGATCAACTAGCCCAAACAGTATCAAAAGCAGAGATTCACCAAAAAAAGATTATGCTGTCAGTCTGATGGGGGGATCACAAAGGAATTTTGTATTTTGAACTCATGCCGCAGAACCAAACGATAAATTCAAATGTGTATGTTGAGGAACTCGAAAACTGAAGGATGCAATTGAAGATGAGCGGCCGGCATTATCAAATCGGAAGGGTGTTGTTTTCCATCATGATAACGCAAGGCCCAACACATCTTTGGTTACTCGGCAAAAATTATAGGAACTGGGTTGGGATTTTTTTGTCATCCCCACCATATAGCCCTGACCTTGCGCCTTCGGATTACCATTTGTTTCGTTCCATGCAAAAAATCTTTAAATGGTAAAATTGTTAACAACGCGGATGATGTCGGATCACACCTAATTGAGTTTTTTAATAGCAAAGACCAGACATTTTACGAACGGGGAATTTTTACTCTGCCAGAACGATGAAAAAAGGTCATTGACAAGAACGGCCAATATCTAATTGAATAGAGTTATATTTTTAAACAAAATTTCCGAATTTGCCTTCTTATTTGAAATCGGCAATGACTTAGTTGTCAACCTAATAGAAGGTCGTCACTGTCGAATTTCGGCTGATCCAGCGTTAATTGGGTGCTTTGGCTTTTGTTAGCAATTTTTAGCCCCCTATTAAGTTTATAACAATACTCTCTGCTTAAACATTCACCAAAGTTTCAGTAAGTTAATTACTGCATATTAATTGTTCACATATTCATTCAGTTTTGGAAATAAACTTCTTTTCCATTATGAGGCCTCCTCTTGGATAGTCATTGTTGTGCTAGATTTCCGCCTCACAGTGAACGGCACGATCATTGACACAGAAAAGTGATTAGCAAAGTTCTAGTAACTGAAAAAGTGGCTTCGCGAAACACCCCCTTCAGAATCATTCGGGGAACGAGCCCAGATCTTCCGAGAGCATACAGTGATGGACTAATATTTGAATCTGGAGAACATTGCTCACTATGCAGATTCGAACGCCGAACATATAAGCAGGCAGTAATTTTTAAATGGGGAGGATTAAGAATGACCACGTGCAAATAAGCATTTCGAATCGCGATGAAATGTTGTAAGCGATAAAAGCGTATTTATTGAAATCCCATTTGGCTTACAATTGTTTCGCTTATTACTATAACTACTATTCACAGTAAAACAAAAAAGCATATTAATGTCAACAAATCCATCTTAATCATGTGGCTTAATTCATTTACTTCATAGTTTCGAGATATTTCATTAAATTTTTTTATTTGTACCCTGCCCTACAAATCAACCTCCTGTCCACAACCCCCCCCCCAGCGCCTATTGGTTTGTGTTTGTACTTTTTTTCGAATGATCTCGCCGATTCCGTTCACTTCTCCTCCTCCGCCTTCTCCTCCAATTGTTAAGAGTACAAAGCGATGGTGGCTGAGAGTTGGCAATCTGAGGTGCATAAATGGCATGGATGAGAAAACTAAGAATATTAAGTTTGCAGAGCTTCGTGAATTGTATTCACTCAAACTTCTCTCTCGTTTTTTTGCTTTTGCCCGTTGAATAAACATAATTTGTGTAAACATTATCAAACAAGGTACCGAATTGAAGCGCATATTAAGACTGTTGATCTAGAAATGCAGCCTGAAAGAGGGGCCTTATGATTCGGCGTGTGTGGGACAGTAATTAGTGGTGCTTCCTCTAAGCTGCTGGTTATTTTTGGCTACCAGCATTACTCTACAATATGCTTTTTCTCAACATTTTGAATAGGTCGCAAAGGTAGATTAATTTTTCTATTTACTCTCTTATAAAAGTAATCCAACCAAATTTAAATGCCAACGGGTGATTGAAAAAAGCCAGCCTATTGATATGTTGTGAAAGAATATATTGAATTAATTTAGACTTTTATCATTGTTTTCATAACATTTTAACCAGACGGGAAAATTTTGAGAAAGTTTGCATAAAAGTGGTGGCCGGGTTGGGTAAGGCGCATAGAAGCTCTATTCGAAAGGAAATTACAAGCTTAAAATAGTGGCTAACATCTCAATAATAATAAACTGGAAATGCTTTGGGAATTCAGGAAGCAAGTATCCTAAAACCTCAATTTAACATAAATTTGAGAAGCTTCGAAACTTCTTCCCTACTCCAATGCCTGGCAAGACAAAATAGAAAATTATCTTCAACGGAGTTCACGAATGACAAGTAATAGAACTGTCGATTTTTTAGGCAAAATAAATAGACCGATATTTGGAAAATGAAGAAAAGAACGAGAGTCGACGAAATTTAAGCAATCGATTCAAAGGCTTCGAGCAGTGATCTGTGTTTACACCAGCAACAAAGTGTGAGTGCTGGAAAATAATGTGACGGATACATTTCCACGAAAGTTGTGCGCTAGAATTAGCAAAGATATGTCCGATAAATAAAAAATAGAATAGCAAAGGATCTAAAATATTTTAATAATTTGATCAGTATGCATGTGCCGTCTAACTTATATTCTGTTCTGGTCTTAACAGAATTGATTCGTACCAACTACTCCGTAGAAATATAAATTTTAAAAATATACCACTGACTAAATAGAAATGTAGTAATTCATACCACAAGATTTCAAGGGCACCATCTTATTGGTAAAATGGACTGATTCCCAATGCTATAAGTAATGTGAAAAGAGCAATGATAAATGAAATTTTCCATATTTTCAAATATGGCGAAACAACCTTAACTTCTCTAATCTATCTTGTTTAGTCGAAAGTTTGTGAATTAAATGATCTGAGTATATTGGGGTATTTAGAAATACAAATATTTTGCCAAATAAATCGGTCTTTCTTTCATAAAATAAAGAGACCATTTTTAAAAACTAACGAGCGCATTATCTTGTCATTAATTATCCAGATTTACTGATTTTTAACTTAAATATATTCACGGTTATAATTGTAATAGAATCAGCTTAATTCGTATTGGTAGGGATGAAAAATGAGGTACCATTCAACAAGAGATATTCAGTGAACGATTCAATCCTATTCTAGAAGCTAAAATGCAGTTTAAAGAAACTATTCCTACTCTATTTGTGCCTCGAAGTCAAACTGATTTTTCCTTCATTCTCACAACCCCCCCCCCATCCTTGTTGATTTGTATGTATATAAATTTACTGATACTGAAACGGTGACTTGATCTCACTAATAAACTAACTTTCAGTTATTTTAACTTCATCCTCGTGGCATACCATTAGTTATTATTCAATATTTTATCGATGGCAATGAAGCTTGAATACCAGAAACTGCTCAAAATTAACAAATAATATGTATCGGAAGAAAGGAATTATATGGTTGTCATTTGCATGCTATCTATCAAACGCCCATGGTAATTTGATTAATTTTTCTGGATAAATAAAAATATGAATAAATCTAATGGAGTTGCTGCATTCTCATCCATTTTGCGGCACATTAAAAATCAATCATTAGTCCATTATTTAATATAAAAATTGTTGATTCGTACTAATTTAATTCAAAATAAATTTATATTTAGAGAAACAGTTAAGAAAGGATAATGAGAGTATCACTTCTAATTTAAGTTTTAATAAGTTTATTCACAGTCCGCAACTTTTGAAAATAATTGGTGCCGTTAGTTCATTTTTTCGGTAGAAATGGATAGGAACAGCTCTTCCGATCATGACAGACAATCTTTCCTTTAACTACCAAGACACCATTATTGAAGGCTTTATATGCCCATCTTGTCTTAAGTCTTTTAGCAAACCTGAGCTTTTAGAAGTTCACTTTGCCAAGCAGCATTTTCACACAGTTAATACCACCAATGAACAAGAAAGCTTTACAAAAGGACCGACTTTAGGTTGTATATCGATGAGACTATCTTTTGGTTTTGTAATTATTTTTTGATTCCATTGATTTCTTTGTTTTAGGAAAGGTATGTAACCGAACAGCTGATTTCCGAAAATTGCGAAAGGCTCAGATTGATCGGAATGCTCTAGAAACCAATCTTCTGCTAATTAGACTTGAAAAGCTTTTAAATATCCCTGATAATCTTGATATCGCCCAACTTCATAGTAAGAGCTTTTACATTTAAATTGGTATATTGACCCATTCAGTTCAAGAACAGAGTGTTGTGCCTTGGATTGAAGCGAAGGTTAATCTTTGTCCTCGATGTGGAGCGTCTTTTGGTTTAGGATGGGCCAAAGGTACGCTTTCCGAGGATCAAAAGGCTCCAATTTCTTCGCAGTCCCAGATTCTTGCTTCCCCTCCATACTCTTTTTCTCGTCGCGCTCGAGATAGCCTTCGTTTGGCCACTCGTTTCGCAACCGCGTTGATCGACAGTGATCCCGTATACCGGAGAATGCACCACTGTCGTCTTTGTGGGCACATAATCTGTGGTGACTGCTCCTTTTTTCTTTCCAAAGATGTGGTTCATCAAATCATTCAGGCCTGCAATTGGGCTTCTGATGATACCCTCCGAAACAAAATTTGCCCCTCAGATGTCACCAAAAATGATGAATCAGATTCCTCTAAACCACGAAGAATCTCCTTCCTTTCCTCTAGATCCTCTTCTGCTACCAGTCTCGACATCGTTATTCCCAGACGCGCGAGGAAAAACCGACCAGAAGGCAAGTATTGAACGCTTTTATGCACTATATCTAAGTGGGCTTTTGTGATCTTGTCTGTCATTGCAATATCGCCGTTTTCGATAATGTAATTTAGTGGCAGACATTTGGACACCTTGGAAAAAGTGATAGTAACGTTATTAAGAATGCGAAAGTCGTTTAGTCAGGAGAATTCTTCTTCGTCTGCGGTCCATAATTAGTTAAATCAAATGCTTTTCCAAGTTAAGATTTGCTGAAGTTCATCTCATATTTTCTCTGTAAAAAATTTGGATAAACTCACTTCATATGGCTCCGCTGTCGTCTCTATTTTTCGATATAACAATTACCTTCAAATGGTAGAGTTTATATCCACCTATCGTTGCCTTTTCGTCTCATTTTCATGTGCAGTTTTGATAACATAAGTGCTTTCGCGTTTACACAAAACCTTGAATTTCAATTTATGTTCAATGATAGGAGAAAAACATTTCCTCGTCGGATTCGTCCCTACCAATTGTTGAATTTTTCCTTGCAAACATTCTTGGGCTTGTTCCGATAATTAGTATTTCGTCCAGTACCGTAAAGACTGGTCTTGCATCCCCTTTTTTGATAATATGACCATATTTATTGAATGACTTCTTCGGCATCCAATTTAACAATTGCGTCTTCCGTTGTGAGGCCTCGTATCCTCAACAGTCCTTGGTTTCACGCGGCTTTGATCGAGCTTTTTAATAGGTGTCTTTTTAGCCCTCAGCACTTATTGAAGTGCCAAGGTAATTAGAAGAGCGCACTTGCTTGATCTTGAGATCGGCTCTTTGGTGAGAAGATTGAAACAATGTCTAGAACCTCTTCTCTCCTCTCCTGCCTTAGCACACCTAGTTACGTCCTGGAAGACATATGAGCCGCAATACTTAGCAATACATCTCTATCATTATAAGACCACGTAAGCTCCTGTTTTTCCGTGTTTCTTAGAGTTTTCCTAGGTTTCTTTCAATCTACTTTCTAATATTCTTTTCAATTTTTTCTCTCAGTTTTGGGATTGCGTATTTGCGAGGTGTGCAAGGGCTTTCTGGAGGACAAGATGGCGCAGATAGAAGAGAAGCAGAGCAGTCCTATTGGACTTGAGGAGTTTCGAGCCCTCAAAGCGGAAATGGCCAAAGTGAGCGAAAAAATGCCCCTCTTCTCTTCTATGGCCAACAGTCTCAAGTACGTTCCTATTTCCGCCTCTCAGCTTCCCTTCCGCCCCATTCCAAGTTCCATCCCCTTCTGTTCTTTTTATTTCCTAGCTCAGGAGAGGAGAAGTACGTCCTCGAGATCGCAAAGTCGCTTCGAATGGAATTACTTCAGAGTCTCCATAAAATCGATGAAATCGGGTACGTCGCACTTTGGTGGAAGTTGGTGTATGGCTGGCTGTGACCCATCGCCAGATTGAAGCTTGGTCTTCGGAAATTAGTAATTTGCTCGAGTCATCATACAATGACACATGAAATAGTTTAAGAATAGTTCAAAGTAATTTTACTGCAGATTAGGTAGGAATGCTTCTCCATTGTTCTCTCACTTTCATTATGAGCATGCAAAAAAGTATCACAACTTCTTCATGTTTTTTCTACTATTTGCTTTTACTCTCTCTCTCTCTCTCTCGCTAACACCCAGTTTTTGCCTGCCTGCCTTTCTGCTTAGGAAGGTGATTTCGTCGCTCAATGTGACAGGAGTGCGTTCAGCAGGAACGCAGACGCGCCTCAATCGAGCGATGGGAAAATTTGCTTGTCGCTTTGTCCAAAACAACCTCACTCCCCTCCGTGTTCTTCCCACTGTGTCAGAACATCGTCGTCTGGTCCAGTCTCGTCTGCGGCGCCTTCGTTTCTCCGCAACCCCTTCGCCGGTTTCCCCCAACGACGAACAGGTACGTACGAGGACTGCTCACAGTCTCCTCCCTATTATGCTTGTTACTGGTGTTCACATCAAGAGCAGGATAAGGAATGTGGTTGCGCTCATCTTCTCGTGCGCACGCTTAATGTAAGATAATGACGCAGAAGTGTGCATCGTCACAATTGAAATCTGTTTAATCATTGACGCAGTCTGCTACAGCTACGGCATTTCAAAAAACTTTTGCCTAAAAGCTAACCGAGTTAGGTCACCGCTCCACTCCACTCCACTTGGTCACACTGCTTATGCCAAAAGGAATTCTAATCCCAACCCACCTCTCTTTCAGTCATCGAAACCCTTCGGGCCCTCTTTCCACGCCTGGCAACGCGCTAAACTATCCCTCTCGGTATCGTCCATTATCACCTGAACTAGAAATAGTCTCCTCCTCCTACCATGGTTTTAAACTCAAATTTAACCCCCCCCCCCTGTAAATAGTTTTCAACTAACCACCTCCCAAATCCTTTGGTGACGAGTGTGCTTAGATTAGATATCACCCCTCTAACTCTATTACAATGCTAATTATAAACCAGGGTAGAAGGAGGGCCAGGTTGGTCTGAGCGAGGCTTTATTGAGAAGAGTAGAAACCACAGAGGTGTAGCGCATATTGGCGCCTAAATGAGCGGTCGGCCTCGTCCTCTTCTTGGGCTACCCATTTGAGCGGTGAGAGTTCACAACACAACACCTGCTGCTGTTAGTGCTTTAAAAGGAAGAGCAGAAACGTTTCCAGTGAAGCCACTGTTGTAATCTGCCTGATGTGCCTCATTTTAAATCCAATGATTCTAATGCCTAAAAGGGGGCAAACAGAAGAGCAGGAGTTGTGATGGTTCCTTGGCGATGGACATTGAGATTCTCCGCTTTAAGTGCTGCATTTAAAATGGAAGGCTACTTATGAGAATGTCTTCTTTCAACTCCAGAGGTCGAGTTGCATTATGCGCCTTTTCATCCATAGCACCTCGGGGTTACACGTAAGAGCCTACTTTCCGGTGTAGAATAGTTTTCAAGACAATTTTGGCATGATTGCACGGACTTTCGTGGGCAGAGAGATTCGGTCTCTATTGCATCTTCATGGTCAACTATTTAACGATCCAGTTTTAATTTATCTGATATCAAAAGAGAACTGATCTTTGCAATTCCTCGAGTTTTTTGCTAGATGCACATGGCCTCTTTCTACCCTACCCCCCCCNNNCCCCCCCCCCCCCCCCCCCCCCCCACCCCAAGCATTTGCAGGACTAGATCGTGAATGTTGAGTATGAGCCACGTTGGCCAGCCAGCTCACGTTTTTGTAAATAAATACGAATTAGAACTAACTCACTCTCTCTGTGTGTGTGTAAATGTTTTTTTTCTTATGTTTCTACAAAGGCACGTCTGTTCACATGTACACCCCGTCAAAACTTTTGCGGCTGATACGTATCTCTCTCTCTCACAAGATTCGCTTTCTCTTGTGTAATTGTGTAATCATTCGCTTTTCTAACGTGACTTGCCTCTCTATTGGTCTGACTGAGGGTTTTCTTCTTCTAGGCTGCAAGGGATGCTGAAGGCGGCTGGATGCCATCAGCCCCACGATGGAAGCTACAAGATGAGGATCTTGACTCGAGTGATCCCCGAATGGTGTTGATGCGACAAATGGATCTTGTGGCTGACTACTTGGCTCAGGCACAGGCTGCGCGTCGCTCCCCCCAAGAGATCGACAATTTGACTCAAAATCTCGCCGATCTCGAAGAGGAATTATCTCTCCTCAATGCTGCCCCAAAGTAACTCCTCCACTCCCTATTCTCTCTCTCTGTTGTGCTTTTATAAGATTTGGAACTCCTCACTCTCCGTCTTTTTTGATGATGATGATGTAATGTTAATGACTTATGTCTTTCACTTCTCACCTTGTAGGTCTGAGAGCATAGTTATCATGTTTTCGAGTGATATTTGTGATCAGGCGTAACGGATTTTGGGATCACCACCTAAGTTTAAATCAATGTACTTCGGATCACTGGTATGATCAACATCCGTCGAGCAATATTTTTGTATATATAGTTTTTTTGCACCAGTAATTAGCAAATAGGAAAGCCAACTTTTATCATATAAAGTACTATCTAGATACAGATAAGTCAATCCTGGCACTCGAATCTGTAGTAGTCGCAATCTCGGTATCAGATCACGTGGAAAGCAATCTTCGAGACACGGTGACGCATGATCAGTTACTTCTCTCATCAGATGTGTCATGTTTACCTGATCATTTGTAAATGACAAATTGTAATAGTTTGAACAGGTAAAGTACTCCTTCCAGTGTGGCATCTGTTGGGCTACTAATTAAATCGTTTTACGGGCGCATTTCTCAACGCGCGGACGGGATTCCATTCACCAGCCAAACCCAAACGAGGCGGTTGACGCCACTTCTCAAATATGCGTACTGATGGGAATTAGAGCCATAACCTTTAACATGATAGAGGTGAGAGTTGACCAATAGGCTACCGACAAGCAAAAAACGGATTCCACAAACTAGCACCCAAGTAGACAGAAGATTTTTGAATGATCACTCATAACAAAAAGACTTGCACAATTAAATCTGCTTTCAATGAAAGGAAATTTTATTTTGCTAAGTTCTGAGTGGCGTAGCGGTCATAGGAGAAGAGAAATACCAGTCGCAGAGGAAGTAAAAAAAACTCGTTTTCTTTTCAGAACACCCTCCTTCTGAAGGTGTAGGATAACCGTCTAAAATTTATGCAACGGCTCGATCTTATCCCAATATCACCAACATGTACAAACCCCATGGGCATGAAATCGTGCAGAGTTAGGTAGAAAAAGATCTACACAGAGGTGGTAGATAAGGGTGGGTTGAAGCGTTGGGCGCATCGATTAGAGCAACAGTAGTGGATGACACTTGAGGGCGTGGAGACGACACGTTGGGCGAATCGCAACTCCACAGCATCCACAAAGCGATGTGACTCGGGGCCGCAGACCTTCAGACAAACAGCACACCGACGAAGGACGCCCAGGGCCTCCGTCGCAATTTTCTCAGGCAAATCCTCATGTTCCCACCTCGCCTTCGTCACCACTGACGGCCACCAGCAACTATGGGAGGGACAAGATATTAAGTTAAAGCCTTGAGCAAATGGCCAACTCACACACGCACTACTAGCCATACCTCTAAGGATTGGCTTAACCTGAAACTATCATTAGCTCAAAAACCACCTGACGTAATGCCCTCTTGCATTGTGTTGCAGAGGAGAACGCAGCAAGTGTGCTCCTACCAAGGTGGACTTTATGAGGTTATATGGGGTGTGCGATAGACTTACCTCCACGTGATGCACCCTAGACAACGTATATTCATACGGCAAAAAAGTCTATTAACTGGCAGTTGACTTCTCACTTCAAACTACCATCACCCCACTGTATGCCATATTCGACCCCTTCCACAGTAATCACCTCACCTTTTTACTACCTTTGTGTCTCTCTCTTTTACATCTTTGAAACACTCTTCTGTTCCCCCCCCCCCTCTTTCAATTTTTTTTCACTTTGATGTTCCTCCTCCACTCTGTGAAGCCTGAAGTCAATTAAAGGGCTAATGAGAACCGGCATAAAGCCTGCCACTTGATATAAATATAAATTATGTTAAATGAGTGCTGGACTTCCACACATCTCCCCTCTCAAGGTCATGCACTCATTTTTCTCGAGTAAAATATGGCAGAAGAAAGATTCCTAACCTCCGTTTAAACTTAAGAGGGAATATATGATAACGGAGAAGTCACAAAACTAAAAGCAATGCAATAATTACAATGTTCTACATAAAATAGACCATTGGAATTTCGATTCATAGGCAAGATTTCTCTTTAAACTACTATAGGCCTTCATTATAGAACCTGTAAACAACCGTTTCAATATTTAAATTCTGCAATTTACCGTCGCCATCAATGTCCACTACCTACTTCAAGCGTCTGGATGTATTCGATGGAAAACCAACGCTCAGACCCACTCTGTACATGAATAAGCTGATAAAACGCTTGTAAGATGAGATGAGTCAACTAGATCTGAAAAAATACAAAAATTGTACGTTCAGATGAAATCTCCCAAATAGGTTACTAAAGCAATAAAATTAGAAGCGAAATTTACGCAAAAACACATGACCGAAAATAGGACATGTACAATTCTATTAAACCAGGACCATGAACCAACTCCAACTCACAATTTGGCATAAGCTTGGAGAAATGTGACAGTGGCGTAGTGGAAGAGAGATTTTGGCTCAAATTTGGTAACCGGGAGAGGAAGAGAAGGGGCCACCCAGGGATTATCGGAGAGATCAAGAGTACCCGGTGATTGAAGACAAGTGAAAGAAAAGGGCAAGCAACGAAGTCGATTATTCCGCAAGAAAACATCCCTCAATCGGCGAACTCGATGTAAATTTACTGGTGGCACTCCGATTAGTTGGTTATCTACATTATAAAAAAGCCTTAAACACGAACAAACACAAGGATAACTAAAAACTAGTCTGCAGTCAGTGATTCGTGTAGACCTGTCAATAATCTAGTTTCCCCATTGTACATAACAAATATGGCGTAGCCATAGTCCATAAACGGAGAACTGAAAACGCAGGAACCAAGATGATATCCATTCTAAAAGATGGCCATTAAAAACCGGGCCTGCATTTAAGGGCACAATCTTATGACAAACCAAGCATAAAGACAAATAGGGGCTAATAAAATAAGAAACCTATAGCATTATCGGAAAATAACACCAGAAACCACCAGCTATGATGTGTCATAGAGTTAGGGAACAAAGGATCAACTTTATGCATAGAACGAAAAAAACTTCAAAAGGGACGAATAATTTTTACCATTTAGATTGAGAGTTTCCAAGTTTTCAAGATTCCAAAAATCCATAGGAAGACTAGTAATTTTATTTCCTGATAGATTCAAATGCGTAAGGAACGAAGAAAGCGGACTTTCTTTGAAGATGGACGGCCAGACTTCGATAGAATTTGAGTTCAAACTAAGTCGAACTAAACTCAGTTTGGCAATATCCTTAGTAATCGCAGATATATTGCTTCCCTCAATTGTAAGGATAGACAAATGCGTCAAGCGTAAAATGCGAGTGTCGAAATTATCGAGCTTAATACCTTTGATATGGAGGCTCTTCAATGTCGTAGGAAAAGAAGAACCGACTGGATAATTCTTCAGTTCTTCTATTAAGAGCTCAGTATGGGGAGCATTTGAAAGACATTCTAATGTGGTTTTCGATGAACCTGGCCTGCATTCTTTCCCAGTTTTGATGCAATTCAGGTAATTACATGCAGCACGAGCAGTGGCTGGACTGACCTGTAATATGTGCACAATAAGCAATTACGACTAACCTCACGAAAAGAAATCACACGCCTGGGATGTTTTAACGTCACCGAAAATTTCCCCTCACTAACGAAACGATCACTTATTAAAAGTAAATTGTCCGTTAACTAAGGCATAAAATCAATGGATAATAATACTTGCCCGAAAAGTTACATTTTGTGAGGAGGATGAAAACGATAGGGTAATAAGAGATCGGTTTTGATCAATCACAACACGAGTTTTTCGAAATTTATTATTTCTACCAGATGAATCTCCTGAATGGCACAGAGATGAACACGAAAATATCATACTAGTAACACATCAGATTCTTTAGACTCAATAATCCCGGCCCGATTCAACACATCTAAGGTCGAGCAATTTATAAATTTATAAACAATAATATAAAATATAAATAAGTAGAATAAATAATGTTAATACATTTAGAAATTTCAGAAATTTATTAATTCATTAGCATTATTATTCAATTTAAAATATGCCTTTAAATAGACATACGTCTTTTTGACTTCCAAGTATCTACAATTACAATCTCTAAGGCACTTAGTCTGTTCGGGGTAATTTAATTACCTAATAATTTTAAAGCTTAAAAAATATTGAATTTCTCAATATGTTCTTTGGCAACTAGTAACCAGAACAAAAAAGCATTTGATAACATTTTTTTATATTCGCATTTACACGATTTCAAATCTTTGATTATGAGATAAAAAGTATTCGTTCTTAATATATATATTTTATCAAATACTATTTCTTCAAAGTTTCCTTTATCACTTCAACAGAAAACATTGAGTAAGTAGACCATTTTATCACTAATAAATACTCCCACGAAAGCTTAGAAAAAATCACTTCTTCTCTACGCTGGTGCTTGTTTGATAGCTCCTTGCAATCACGTCCGCACTTAATCGCTATGGCGCCAGTAGTACTGTTAAAACTTTTTGACTGTTCGAGCTTGTATAATATTCCCTTGATTAATCTTTTTAGAGTTGGGCACAAAACAAGAGATATAAGGAAATGTGTACAGGAAAAATTGACATATGTAAGCCGAATAATGGCAACTTTTGGGGAAGTAAGTCGAAAGGCACAGGTACTAAAATATAAATATTGCTCAGAGTTAGACAAAATTTTGATAAAAAATTATTTATAAAAATTGGTCAAATTTTTATTATTTTGCAATAAAATAAGAAAACTCAAGTGAAAAATAAATTCACAACACAAATTTATTAAGAAGTGTATACCTGTTTGCTTTTCAAATAATATGTTTGAACCTTAAAGTTACGTATTTTAAATCCTTGGAAGACTGCGTTATCGAAAAGTGTACCGTGATAATCACAAAATGCTCTGATTTTGTTGTAAATATGTTCTCGTTATTTATTACGTAAATTTACATTTCTTCATTCCGACACACAGTCCATGAAGTTCGAGCGATAGTTCAAATAAAACTTTTCGAAACTGAAATTCCCCGTTCTGTGTCACATTTCTCCCCATGTTCTCCATTTTATTATTTCCTCATTCTATGGCTTCAGTCGTTACCAAATCTGTATAGAGTACCAAAATTTCACCAATCTCGTTAAAATTAGCTTTTAATTGGGCCTAATATATTTTCATCTGTCCGGCCATTTTCAGTTGGTACTAATGTCCCATGCTGACCATAAGACAAAACAGTTAAAAGTTGACGTTTCGCACATTCACTTGCCATGAAAATAAAATATTAAATTAATTACCAAAGATTCAAAAGTGATGAACTTTATACAATATATTGTAATTAGGAGGTGGAAAATCGTGATTTTCACTTATGAACAGATTATTAATTCAAGATCTGAATTCAATTTTTTCGCTTATTTTCTATTTACGGAAAAAATGAATCAGCTAATGCGTCATCACATTCCACTTACCTTCTACGAAATTTCTTTTATAAGGTACCCGAATCGTAATCGCAATTATTTCAGATTGACTCATCATTTATTCCATAAGAAGGTTCATTGTCAAGCACTCTAAAACCGTAAAGTAGCACTAGACACAGGCTAATCCACTTAAACAGGGCTTAAAGATATCGCCTTAGAAGGACATTGATGTTCATAAGGACTAACACTCTCCATATGAGATTGCCGGGTGTTGTAAATTGGACCACGTGCATAATGAGCAGTTTAAGGATAGAGAGTGAAAGAATGGAGGCTACAAGCAATAAGTGAGTAAGAAGAGAAGGAAACAAATATTCAAATTGAAAGATAGAAAGAAGGAATCTTGGCAAAATTGGACGAAATAAGAAGTCTGTAGGAAACGTATATTTTGCCTCTTTATTTGCCAATCAAACTTTTTTCATCGTATATATTATTATGAATTTTAACACAACCAAGAACGAATTTTTCCAATAGACAAAGAAAGTCCTCTCTCTGAGTATTAACAGTCTTTTAGGAAAATGGGCAAAATATTTTTGTATCGAGAAATCTAAACCTCGAAAAAAACACAATTTGGCCAAAGAGACGGTTTTCTTTGATGCCGTAAACAGTTATGAACACTTGTACAGAAATCAACAAAGTTTTTTTCAATTTCAAAATAGATTAATAGTAATTTAGTCAAGTATACTCAATTCGTTTTAATCTCCGGGTTTTAGGAGGTATTTGCGATTTCCCTAAGGCGGTACAGGGCTCTAACACTGCGTATGTCTTTAAATAGATTTAGGGGAGAATTTTCCCACATTGAGACCAAATCAAGCCAAATGAGTTTAAATATCGGGTAGTTAAACTAAATTCATTTAATATTTCATCATATTCAAGTGATTTTTAAGCTTAATGTAAACCTCGAACTCGATCGACAGTACGATTTAAACGACAAACCTTTCTAAATAATTAATATAATAACTAAATTATAAAAAAATTGGAATTTTTACCTGCCTTTAAGAATGAAATTAATTTCTAAATATTCTCAAACTTTGCGAAAAACGCCTTCAATTCATATTTGTCATAAACTCCAAATATTCGGAAAATGTATCCCTAGCATATATTTATTTATTTATCTATTTTTATTTACACATAATTCGTATGATCCTACTTGAAAAAATATTATTTCATGTTTGTTTCGAAATCATTATTTAATTTGTTTATAGTAACTGCTCTGTCTGAGCGGTCATTCCTGTTTGCACGTTTTAAGCTCACGATCCTCGTTTAAATTTTAAGTGAAAAAAAAATGGTTTATTTTCATGATTTTGATTATTATAAATCTCAGGTGAAGTTTTTGAGCTCTTGCTTTTTAATAAAATAGTCACCACCACAACTCTAACCTTTTAAATTTCTTTTATTTTCAGATGGAAGAAAACCTCTTGGAATTAATTAACAATATCTCCACATTCTTAACCTATGGGTTAGATGTTGATGACAAATTTGCGGTTGACAAGAAGCGCTTATTCACCGAAGTACACAGTTTGAGACTCCTCACACAGGAGTGCCTTGAGAGTCTCTCCGTACGTTACCTTTCCTTAATTATTACAACAACATAAGAAATTACTTTACTCATCATACTGATCAGATAAATTAAACCTCACTTTTGGCTAATGAGCTCAGTTCATAGCCGCCTTATCTTCTAATGTAGCATAGTTAAAAGTGATTGAGAAGGTGAGCTTAAGACCAAAGCACTTTTTGTCGATTTCTCCCCGATTACCGATGTTAAACTACAGCAGAGTGAGTAATGTCACAGGTGATTAGCCATGAGTATACGATGTTGATATCTCCTTTAATCGTAACACTGTGTGTATTCAAACGTTGAGAGTCGCACAGTGAATTGTTATTCGTTTTCTTCCTCGTTTTAGAAAGATTGCATTAACGAAAATGAAGCTTATGTAGACTATTTCCGACTAGTCAAAAAGTGGTATTGGCACCTGCTACTGCTGATCACATACATAAACTATACTCCATGTGTAAGTCAAATGAATCTCATTCAAATGGTTGTAGTGAATTTTGTGACCTCAGGTCTCATGTATTTCTCTTTTTATTTTCAGGTAGACAGATCCGACAAAAGCGCCTATATTCGGCATTTAGGTGAAGAACTACTCAGCTCCATTAGTGAAATCAATTACATGGATGTTATTGATCCAAGCGAGCGATTTGTGGTTTTGGTGGTAAATTCTGTTCCAATTCGTATTTCAGTTAAATCGAGGGGATTAATTCAGAACTAAATTAGATATATTTTGGTGTTTAGGGTGGCACTTTGAATAAAAAAATGGAAAACAACTCGCAAGGTTCCACTGAACAACAAGCGCCAAAAGATTCTGATCCTAGTGCCCGCTTTCATCCCTCTTCAAATTTCGGTCAGCGTACGTCTAATAACCATTCAAACTTTCAAAGACCCAATCGCTCCTGGAATAATCGCCAAGGTAATAATAAAATGAATCGAAGTGGCCAAAGATGGCCTTGACAGGGTAATTAAGTAAACAATGTAGAGTAACTGTTCATATATATTCGTTTCAACTTTATGTAACCCAAATAAATTTTATTTTTGAAAATATCAATAATAATTCTAATTGCGTATTTTAACTAGTGACGATCAGGTCAAATCTGTGGTAAGCGTACTTTGGTCAGTGTGTGTGCTTGAATCTATTTGATGCATTTGGGTTTCTGATTTGAACATTTCAGTGAAATTTGTCCTCTTTCCAAACACTTGTTGTGAGCACATTTGATTGGTTCTGTTAGTTGTTTACACATTCCATTCATCTAATGCCAATGTCCCTAAATTAGGGCACCCATTAGGTGTTAATGAAATTCGCATGCACAAATAAGTTCATAGCTGGTGAGGTTGGTTTGAATAAAATTGAGATTGTATTAATCCTGTTGATGTTGGAAAAACGTTCAGTGGCGATTCGATAATATGCGAACAAAATTGGATTTACTTTTCTTCCTGCAACCTCGATTGTCGTGTTAAATGGTTCGTATTTTATTACCAATACTAAGTAAATTCATCGGCCTATTGAGGTCTTTTTTTAACAATATTCTTTAGAGCAACATGGAATCGAAGATTTTACAACTTCATTTATTTCCAATGCCAATTCAAATCTAGTTAGTCCATAAAAATGCTGATAAATAAAATTTGTGTTTGGTAGAGAGATTTGAATTCTATTGTTTATTGGCGACCAGTAATTAATTTGAGGAAATAGTTACTTAATAATTTATTGTCCGAATTGGGACCTTTTCACTGTTTTTTTTTAAAAGTACCGAAACAAAACGAATGCTTCCTTCTTTGGAACGTTGCTGAAGGATGGAGCACATCTTGGAATGCTGGTTCACTGGGAAGGTAAGGATGGTGAAATTGAGAATCGAGGAGGAAAATGAACCTGATTTCCCCCTGACGCCATGTTCATCGGGTCCGTCAGTTCATTAACTGAAGTTGGACCTCTGCATCTATTCGGCAGCTTTATTTCTTCATTAAAAAAGTCTGAATGGTAAAATTTCATGTCATTTCACTTGAATTCTGTCGCATTCACATATTCAATTTAAATACCTAAACACGCTCTACCTCATTCCTCTGTGATCATCCAATGCATCTCTTCTCCACCTCAGCCGTCATCCTTCCCAATTTCGATTGAGATCGCTGCATCTTCCTCTTAGCCTACACTCAATCAGGTTGCCGATAAAAGCACATCAACATCTACTGCTAAATGAATTGCTGCATTGCTCTATCGTTCTCGCACATTGTATTCATGGTAAACAATGAAATTTTAGTAATTTAGTAATGTAAATTGTAAGGGTTTTCAAAGCATACAAAGCAGCATCGAATAATTTAGCGGGTGACAACCATTTTAACCTCGTCCTCTCAAACAAAGTATTTGTGAATACCGATAGTGTGCGTACTTTTGTAGATCTATTTCACCTACAATGAACTTTAAATTTGAAATCAATAAGTTGAGAGTCTATTTGTGGATTTGTTTGGTTGATAAAAAGTTGATGAATTAAGCTCCAAAGGGTTGGTTAATTGACCGTATTTTCAGTTAAATGGGCTCAAGTTGTAAGATAATAATTTGTTCCAGTTCTGGTTAACAGGGTGCCCCGAGATCATACGAAAAAATAAACCGGTTTATCAATCAGTGGTCATAAAATTGGTGTGAGATTTGCTTCTCGTCGATCCTCCCGACTAATTGGGAAATCTGTTTGCTTCGTATTTCCATTCCCAATGTTGATGAAATATTTTTTTGGCCAAATGCACAAACTAAGGAGGTAAGTTGATAGCTACCAAATCGCCTGCTATTTGAAATAAATAAGTGATCTACGTCATTAGTGGATAAGGTTAGACCCGAAACTCAAATGTGAACAAAGACTCTAGTACTTTGTCGCTGATGTCAGTATCTTTTTGTTTCATTTCAACTTAATTTCCCTTTCGCGTTTGAAAACAATTAATTGCTCGACTATTCATTCTGAGTAAATTTGAGAGCCTGAATGCAAATGCAGCCAGAAGTATAATCCCAGAAGTGAAATTCGAGGTGTTAATTCAAATTTTTTATCTTTATGGCAGAGATTCCGATGACACACACAGGCTATTTTGTTGGCAGAGCAGTAGCTGAATTGTTGATAATCCATAGGCAAAGTCACATATGTTCAATTTTAAGTTCAAAAATTGGGAATCATCAAAAATTGGAATCCGCGCTTACAAGGGCACAAAATGAATTCGAAATCGAAATGCCCTTAGTAAAGTTTTTTATAAAAGTCTCTTTGTACTCCTGTTAAAATTTACTGCAAGAAAGTGTCTTTCAAAGCCTATTCGGGGAATAAAACAGTAGAATTGAGTCACTTACCCATAGCGCTATCTTTTTGGGTTCAATAATCGTATATAAATGATTATTGAATGCAAGAAACTATTCCATCCATCCAAATCCAATTTTTAGGTCTCCGATTTGTTTAAGATACTGCACAACTGGACAACCCCCCCCNCTATTTATTAGCTAATTAAAACTTTACATAGACATGCCAGTTGTCCACATGCTGCTAGTGTCAAGTACACAAAACACCGCCTTTCTGATTATCGTTTGTGCCTCAAATAACCACTTCAACTATCATAGGGGTGTGGGATAGACTTACCTCCACGTGGTGCACCCTGGGCAACCTATGCTCATGCGCCAAAATAGTCTATTAATCGGCAGTTGACTTCTGACTTCAAGCTACCATCACCCCACTGTATATCATATTTGACTACTTCCACAGTACTCACCTCACCTTTTTTCTACCTTTATGGCTGTCTCTTTTACATCTTTAAAACACTCTTTTGTTCACCCCCCCCCTCTCTCGACTTTTTTCGATTTGATGTTCCTCTCCCTCTGTGAAGCCTGAAGTCAACTAAAAGGCTAATGATAACTATCATAAAGCCTGCCATTTGATATAAATATACTATCATAAGATAATGATGGTGAGTGAATTTAAGACATCAATTGAGTATTGTAAAAATGTTTTGAAGTAAGTAAATATATAATAAATAATGGCGAAATAAGGTTTGTCGAAGAAGAAGAATGTGCCACTATTTCATAGAAATGGCTATTGCATTTGTTGATAAAAATGATACGTGCACATGTTGTTTCACACATCTGTGCGTTTATCGATTTCTCGTCAGCAAATAAAAAACGAGAAATCTTCCGATTTCCTAATCGAATCTGAATACACTCTCTTTATCGCAACTCTTATTCTACGCAACTTGTTAATCCTTCTAAGTTTCACTTCTTCCTCCACTTACTCTCCCATTATGTCATGAGTTTCTAATAGACCCATGCCTCAACTCAACTCACAGTCTACTGATTCGAAAATGGTTGGTGCAGTCTGTTAAACATTAAGAAAGATCATTCATCTCGTGATGGGGACATCAAACCCAAATGGTCATGATCCTAAATCGACTTCATTAATGGGATTAGTGATAATTTAAACTCTAAGCAGTAGTTTTAGCCAAAGATTACGCAAATAGGAAGAATTGACTGCCACCAGATCACTGACAGCCTGTCAAACCCGATTCCAAACCCGTCAGGAGTGGAATGATTGCTTTGAATTAAAACAAACTTTCCTACCATTGGGGCATCCTATTCGACCTCCTAGTGAGCCGTGGATTTTAGTATAGTGCGAGTAATAGCATATAAGTGCGTCGTTAGTACAGTGGTTGAACATCACAAGATCAGGTCGAATTGATGACCAAGCGTACCGGCCAACACAACACGTGGGAGAAAGTGCGTTTCCCCCCTCAAGAGCAGCCCCAGACTATCTAACTCCCACCCCACTAGCCCAATGGTGGTTAACAATTTCTTTCTTCGAAATGAAAATTCTTGAATTACCAGAACTTACGAACCTTCGATAAGAAGTCAATCCAACATAGTGACAAATATAACAATTAGTTACGGTGTTACCGATTTGGCACTTTTTCTTCGAATCTCCATATCCAAGTTTTGAATTTTAAAATCATTTCTAAATGACAGTAAGGACACACGGAGGCCAAACAGGATGACATCAGCGCCCAGAAACAAAAATATTTACTCGGATTGGCAGCGAATCATCAGAGTGGATCAAAGTGAATAAGCCTTGACAAGAGAATTTGTAAGCAAAAGTGCCTTCACATATAAACCTTTAAATTCCCAATTCCCCTCTCGGTTTTTCAATTAATCAAAAAACATCTCCTAATCATTTGCCAAATTCTACACCACTATTCTAATCGTCCCACCACCACCCCCCGCCCCTCCCCTCCCCNCCCCCCCCCCCAACTGTTATGGAAACTTTTTCACCGACTATCTAAAGGCCAGGAAAGAATATGCAAGATCTAAAAGAAATTAAAATCGCTTATTTCTACTGCTTTTTACCTCTAGGCAGGAGAATTTCACTAGGGCGAATTTAAAGGTTAAAATAGTCCATGGGTATGCTTCATTGTTTAATAGTTGGCAAGTACCCGCAAACTATGAAATTTCTAAAAAAAGGAAAGCGACTTCACTAAACTCTATTTCCACTCTTTAGTAAATAATAAAATTGCCATTGCTATAGCCCATAGTAAAGCAAACAGTGCTAAATGCTTTAATCATTGAAAACTGAATCCTATTTAAACTATCTTAGAAACGATATTCCAAATGGCAGGCGTTTTGATAGTTATCATTGGCCCTTTGGTTGACTTAAGGCTTCACAGAGGAGAAGGAGGAACATCAAAGTGAAAAAAAAGTTGAGAGGGGGGACAGAAGAGTNACTGTTATGGAAACTTTTTCACCGACTATCTAAAGGCCAGGAAAGAATATGCAAGATCTAAAAGAAATTAAAATCGCTTATTTCTACTGCTTTTTACCTCTAGGCAGGAGAATTTCACTAGGGCGAATTTAAAGGTTAAAATAGTCCATGGGTATGCTTCATTGTTTAATAGTTGGCAAGTACCCGCAAACTATGAAATTTCTAAAAAAAGGAAAGCGACTTCAC